AAAAAAAAAAAAAAAAAAAGAAATTTCAACATATTTTTGAAAGATAGTAAGTGGTTGGAAGAATGGAGAGGGGAGATAACTATAACTTAAGTATTGCTATCTGAAGAGAAGATATCAATGAGAATGAACTAATTTGCCCTGCAAAGTCTCAGAAATTGCAGAAATTGGAGAACTGAGAGGAAGAACTGAGGAAGAATATAGGAATTAAACTTAGGCCAGAAAACGAAAGAAACAGCTGAAATCTACACATTAAGGTTTTGTCCCCAGATAGATCTACCTTACAGTAAAATGGAGGTTTAGTCTTCAGGTAATGGGGACTTTTTGTTTAAAGGCTACAGAATTTTAATTTTGGATGATGAAAAAGTTCGGGAGACAGTTGGTGGTATGGGTGCACAACACTGTGAATATACTTAATAGCATTGAAATGTACACTTAAAAATGGTTAAAATGGTACCTTTTGTAGTATATATATTTTACCACAAAGAAATTGGAGAAGGCTGGGTGTGGTGGCTCATGCCTATAATCCCAGCACTACAGGAGGCAGAGGTGGGCAGATCACTTGGGGTCAGGTGTTCGAGACCAGCCTGGCCAACATGGTGAGACTCTGTCTCCACTAAAAACAAAAAAATTAGCTGGGCATGGTAGCAGGTGCCTGTAATCCCAGCTACTCGGGAGGCTGAGGCAGGAGAATTGTTTAAGTCCGGAAGGTGGGAGTTGCAGTGAGCCGAGATTGTACCACTGCACTCCAGCCTGGGTGATCTCAAAAATAAATAAAATAATTTTTATTTTTGAGATAGAGTCTTGCTCTGTCACCAAGCTGGAGTGCAGTGGCACAATCTCAGCTCACTACAACCTCCAACTCCTGGAGTGATTCCCCTGCCTCAGCCTCCCAAGTAGCTGGGACTACAGGCACCAAGTCACCATGCCCAGCTAATTTCTGTATTTTTAGTAGAGAGGAGGTTTCACCATGTTGGCCAGGATGGTCTCAATCTCTTGACCTTGTGATCTGCCTGCCTCAGCCTCCCAAAGTGCTGGTATTATACGCATGAGCCACTGTGCCTGGCCAAAATAATTATTAACTCAAGGCAAAACAAAATGTATGAAAGGGACAAATATAATATAATTCTATGCAGTACAAAATACTTAGTCAATAATGTAAATACTATCAATCAAAAATTATAGTATAATTATATCAGAAGGAGAGAGGAAAGGGAAGTTGGATATTAAAGAAAATTACCATAATAATAAGTTAATAAATAGGCCACACTCAGTGGCTTATGCCTGTAATCCCAGCACTTTGGGAGGCTGAGGCGGGCAGATCACTTGAGGTTAGGAGTTCATGACCAACCTGACCAACATGGTGAAACCCTGTCTCTGCCAAATGAGACTCCGTCTCAAAAACGGTTAATAGATAATGTCTAGAACTATAAATCAGGAAGTAAAAATATAAGCCTGTTATTTAGAAATATGGAAGTATATACTATAAGTGACAACTAAAAAAGTCGAAGTGGGCCATTCGTGGTGGTTCATGCCTGTAAGCCCAACACTTTGGGAGGCCGAGGCGGGCAGATCAAGAGGTCAGGATATCGAGACCAGCCTGGCCAATATAGTGAAACCATGTCTCTAATAAAAATACAAAAAATTAGCCTGGTGTGCTGGCATGCACCTGTAGCCCTAGCTACTCAGGAGGCTGAGGCAGGAGAATCA